GTTCCCGCTTACATACAAATTCAACTTAAGGACAGACCTTGGGAACAGAACTCGTTCTTAAACTGGGGACTACCTCTATTCTATTTATCTTGTATTCTGAGCTTTTAAATTTTATCTCAGACACCCAGAGTTGCCATTGCAACATAAATTAAGTGAATAAAATACATAATAAATAAACATTACCTGCCAGATTGAAAAAAAATTGAAAGTAGGGTTCTTGAGCTCTATATTACATTTTCTATTAAAGAGCTTATTAAAAAAAAAAAAGAGAGCCCTGGCATTTAAAAAAGCGTAATGTATGTTCTAAAGCAACTGGTAGATATCCAAGTAGTTTTCTAAATGAAATGGCTTCTGAGGAGAAAATGTTATAAAGGAAAAAGACTGAGGGCTGATCCATACTTTCTGCTTGGCCCATTGCTGGTAGAAGCCACTTACGGCTTCCTGAGTCCAGGAACAGATGACGTCATCCTCCTCCCATCTCCAGCCCAATGCAAATGCACCCTGTCCTGTGTTTTCCAGCTTTGATTCAGAACTGCCCTTGGTTGACCTCAGCTGTCTTAAAACCTTCAGAGAAGATGGTCTTTGTTCCATTCTAGTGGCAGCCCCAGCTCCAACTGGCTGCAGTGCTTGCCACACCCCCTTCTGTTCTGTGACTGGTCGTTGCAACCTTTTCACCTCCCAGTGGGCACACTTGTGTTTCTGCCCAGGTGAGGCATGTTCTCCTTGCTTTCCCAGCCCCTGCCCTTCAATGTCCTTTATTCTTTATTTTTTTTAAAAAAATCTGTACATTGCATCATAGGGACATTACTATTTTTGTTTCTATGAAGCTGAACTACCAGTTCTTCCGTGCCACAAAGTTTACTTGGACCTACAGAGGATCATAGGAAGGAAAGTATAACCTATTATCCTGTTACTTTAACTATTGTGGGATCAGAACAACAATGCTGTAATAAAAGGAAAAAAGAAAAAGTAAGGGTCTGGTTTAGTGTCAAAGGAGATCATGGGGGAAGGCGATTTGAAGACATCTTTGTATGCAAGCATCTGGAAAAGCAAAGGAAAGGCATGTGGACTAGTGAGGAGGGAACAGTCCCTAAAAGAAAAAGGCAGGCACTGTAGGCCAGTCCACACAGGGGCCAGCCAGTGAGACTTGCCTTCCCTGCATGGATGGGAAGGGCCAGAAGCAGGGGAATGAACAATCAGGTCTTGCAGTAGCCATAATCTGGACTGAGCGTCAGCCTGGCCCTGTTGCCAACTCACTGCAACCCAGGCTGGAATTTCTGAAGTTGACCTAAGAAACAGCTGGACGCAGTAAGGGAGGCAGGCAGCTTAGGCTGCAGTGCAGAATTGCCCAGAGTAGCCACTTTGAGCCTGCCTGCCTGCCTGCCTGCCTTTTCAGATTTAAAACAAAAATTTCATCTGCAGAGAAGACTAGAAGGGGATTACTGCCTGTAACAACTTTGAGTAGACTGTTATGCCACACTTGGGAGCATAAAACTCTTTGTAAAGCAGAATATGGGGAAAGAGAAAGTGTCTGTGTCAATCAGGTTGGCTACTCTTTGTGACAGAAATAATTCTCAGTTGTAGTCTACAATGTGTAGCTCAGATGATTGCAGAAGAAGACTCATGCGTTCATCTGGTAGCATGTGGACTAGGATATTATGACTTACTCATGTTGAAGTTGCTATTTGAAGAAGTCTTTGGTAGAATAATGCTGCAGTTTACTTTTAGATGGCTTCTGTAAATAAGCAGTCATTCTACAGCAAGATGCCTTACTAGTGACCCTAGTTCTGAGTTTCTTTGGGATGAAGAAGAACCACCACCACCACCTACCATATGGCAGCCCAGTTGTATTGGAAGATATTTCTTTTGGTGCTCAGGGTGAGATCTTGGCTAGGAGGGGAGGGAGGTAGGAACAGGCTAATTCCCATCATCCTGCACTGAGTCATTGAGTTTTCTTTTTCTCTCTCCCTCTTAAAGAGGATGAAATGGAAAGCAACTGCTTCTGGGAAATAAATGCCATCTAAAGGAAGATTGTGGCATGGTTTGGGGGGACATTTTCCACTGACACCAACTACAGAATTCTACCCAAAGCAAACATCAACTTCAGAAGAGAGATTTTCCTCTGACCCAAACAAGGAAAGAATGTATCATCAGATCCTAACTGGGGTCCCAGTTAATATTCTGGACTAATTAATTATTACCTTCCAAGCTGAGATGCATTATATATGCATTCCTGCAGATACATGGAGTTTGACCAGATCCAGGAACCAGAAGGGGAAGACTGATATGATCAAACACCATAGAAATCAGGGGAGAAAAATCATTTTGAACATTAAGGGAGGCAAACATCTCCCTTTGAAGATGCAACCATATGGCCAAAAAAAAAGAAAAAAAGAAAAAATCCACCAAAAAGCATCCCTGCCATAATTCTTGTAGTGCATAGGAACTTGATTGTATCCCCTCTGGGCAACTTTCTTTTAAAGACATTGATCACGGCTTGTGAACACATCAAAACCTAATTGATGAAGTCATCCTATAGAGCAGGGTTCCTCAACCTTAGCAACTTTAAGATGGGTGGACTTCAACTCCCAGAATTCCCCAGCCAGCATGGCTGGCTGGGGAATTCTGGGAGTTGAAGTCCACCCATCTTAAAGTTGCGGAGGTTGAGGAACCCTGCTATAGAGTCATTTCACCTGACTATTAGGTCCTACAAGGAGGCAGAAGTTACAGCAGCCTGGGCCCTTTCCTTTTAGGAGCTGTTTCTACCACCTCATCTCTTCTGCATCCCTTGAGGAGTTTGTTGCATTCAGATGCTGCCTTATCCCAGCACCAGTCTTGAGGTCAGATTTCATAGTCATCCCACTTAGCTTCTATGTGTGGAGTACAGAAGTCACCATCTCCTGGTTTGCATCAGGAAATGAAAGTTTCAGAGTTTTATGATTAGTTTAAACTTCCCAGCTCAGTCCTCTCTATGTGTCTTGGCCAGGCAAGCTAGGAATTCTAGGAAGTGATGAAGAATATTTAGAAGATGGGCAGGTAAATTACTCCCAGGCTGTTTTCAGAATCTTTGCAGTCTAACCTCTGTTGCCTTCAGTAACAGCATGAATCATCATCATTGTGGGCATCAGTAAACATGTCAAAAGGAATAGAAGATGGTTAGATGAAGGGATTTTCCTCTCCTTAGCTTCTTCCCTTCTTCCCCATAATAATTATCAGTCAAGAGTGGAAAAATCTGCCAGCAGTCTTTGTTCTTTTTTTTTTTTCAAATGAGAAATAAAAAGGATTTTATTTTTTCTCACTAAAAATACCCTCAGCTATTGCCTAGTCTTGGGTGGCTTTTCATTCTCTTAAATATGTATAAACATGACTGCAAATCAACAAATCCACTTCCTTCCTCAAAATGTAAGCAGCTGCACTCATAAAAATGCAGGTCTTTGCACGGTGCCAAAAGCACCATCAGGGTCCAACTATGCTTCTTCAGACTGCCTAGCTCTTGGAGGTTTACAGATGTTATCCTTATTACCAAAACTGGGAAATATATTATTTCTTGCTGCCTTGTTGACTCCAATAGTTGAGTCAATAAGGCTGTACCCACACCACATTTTTCTCTCCCATGGTCAACAAGCCTCTATTTGCTTTTTATGTCATTTAAAAATTTCCAAATTTAGCTGTTCTGCCCTGAGATCCTACACAGGGGGACGGTGGTTTTACATCACTTATGCTGGGGCTATATTATCTGAGGATACATGCTGTATCCTCAGACCTTCGGGCATTGTCTCTGATTTGGTTTCTACTGATTCTTTTTACCTAATAGAGCAGTTGGAATTATCTCCAGCTTTCTTAACCTAAGTTGTAAGATTGCCCATCGCTATCTCTTGCTTCCACTTACCAAAAGATCTACGTATTTCACTAAGGGATAGGATTTTGACGGGAAACAATTTTCACTTTAATAGCTGGATTTATGTTTTGAAAAATGGGAAGCCAACCATTATTTGCTTACTTCTATCCATGAAGCTGAGGAAGACAGTTCTTCCTGTTACCTGTCACTTTTGTACTTGAGCGGACTGAATTTTCATGTTTGCAGACTGCTCTAATACTTCCTCTAAAACTGTAACCTGAATTGCACACCAGCCACATGTAGGTTTTTTTTGTTTTAACATTCCTTTCAAGGTCATTCTTAATCAATTAACCAAAAGAGGTTTTGGCAACTTGAAAACTTGTTCATTTTGTAAATCTTCCCTGGTCCTAATCATGCCTAAATTTTGTCAGGCTTGTCTTGATCTGGATATGGTAATACTTTCTTTTTCATGGTCAAGAATTGTTTTTGCTTTTTTCTTGCCGGTCTCATGCTATTCTAAAGTCACTGGGAAGCATAATACTCCTGTTATACTAGGTTATTGCTTATCTTACAAGGTCAGAACTGTATTTATTCAGTTCTGTGGTGAAAACAGGGTCCATGTCTCAGTGCCAAGGCAGAAATCTATACCCAACATGCACTTTCTCCCCTATAGTTCATTGAGATTTC